TGATTCTCTCTCATCATTGATGTTTCTCTCTCTCTCTCTCTCTCTCTCTCTCTCTCTCTCTCCCTTCCTTCTGTAAAAAAATCAATAAAATATATTTAAAAAAATAAAATAAAAATAAATACAATTAAAACCCCCTGTAATCAGGGGCCCTGGATCACGTAATTCAGATATACATCGAATGGCTCCAATCCTCGGCCCAAGGCCCGTTCCCACGTGATTCTCCGACCATCACTGTCACAGGACTGACTTCTCTGGACCCTGCCTCTGGGCCCGGGGGCAGGGCGATGGGGCTGTGACGGGGTGGGGCGGGGGCCCGGGGCTCACAGGATGCAGGCCATCTCCTGGTGCAGGTCCTGCAGCGACTGGAGCAGGCTGGGCAGCATGAGCTGGTGGTGGTGCTGGTGGTGCAGCTGCGCGGCCCGCACGCCAAGCACGTAGCGGTTGTGATGGGCGAAGAGCTTCCACAGGCTGCGCACGTATTTGTCCTTGGCCTTGTCGCGGTCCTTGTCTGCGAGGTCAAGGGGAGGGGGTGTGGGTGACGGCACCGAGGCCTGGGCAGCACCCCCCACCCCCCGCCTCTCCCCGGGCACCTGTGGATGGGTCCGAGGGAAGCCACGCACCTTTGCTGGCCTCCTGGTACTTGCGCCTGGCCTGGGCGCTGTCTCGCGCCAGATTTCGGTACTGGTTCTTTAGCTTCTCAATGTCCTGGCTGTGGGTCTGGGGAGAGAGAAGAGGCAGGGTGGTCAGCAGGTCCCCAAGCCAGCAAGTCCAAGGCCATCCCCCAGGAAGGGCCGGCAGACCGCTGGGGTCTGACCTCTGCGGCCGAGGCTACGGCAGAGGAGCTGGGCCGGGGGACAGCCCCTGGGGAGGCAGAGAGAGGACCGGGTAGGTGACAACTGCCCCTCCTCAGCCCAGAGTGGTATCTGGTGGCAGGCAGGGCCCGGCTGCAGGCACAGAGAGCTCCACACTGAGAAAGGCTCTCTGCTCGTGCCATCCTGAAATGGTCGATAATTCTTTGACAAAACCTTGAAAGCATACATGCATAACCCATGGATGCAGACAATAGGGTGATGAGGGCCTGGGGCAGGGGGCGAGCTGGAAGGGGTCCATGGGGGAGGAAGGGGGACATATGTAATACTTTCAACAATAAAGATTAAAAGAAAGAAAGAAATTCCTACTTAAAATGTTTTTAAAAAAAATCACCGTCAATGAAGGAGTCTGGCAGGGTGGATGATTTAGCTCAGGCTGCCATAACAGAATAGCATCGCTTAAACCGTTTTATTGTATTTCATGAGAATAGAATGACTTTCTTGGGGGAAAATAGTAATTCCTGGACAGGGCCCCACATTTTCATTTTGCACCGAGTCCTGCAAGGCGGCAGGAAAAATAGATGGTCGAGACCAGAGTTCTCGTCCCAATTCCCCTGTTGAGGGACTGGGATGCTGTCGGGCCAGTTCCAGCCTCTCCTCTGAGCCCCAGTTTCCTCATCTATAACCGAGCGCAATGCATAGACTGCACGAGCCTTTTCCTTCGAGGGCCAGCTGGTGAACATTTTATTTTATTATTATTTTTTGATATATTTTTATTGATTTCAGAGAGGAAGGGAGAGGGAGAGAGAAACATCAATGAGAGAGAATCCTTGATCAGCTGCCTCGCGCACGCCCCCTACTGGAGATCAAGCCTGCGACCCTGGGCATGTGCCCTTGACCAGAATTGAACCCGGGACCCTTCAGTCCACAGGCTGACGCTCTATCCATTGAGCCACACCAGCTAGGGCTGGCCAACTCTGTTTTTTTAGATAAGCTTTCGGGGAGAGAGAAGCATGGGTTGACACTGGCCACCAGGGGACGCTGTGGGTCCACAGCAAGGCTGGCTTTTGCGCTGGTAGAAGGGGGTGGTACAGGGGCTTGAACTAGAACAGCAATTTCAACCTTTTTCATCTCATGGCACACATAAACTAATCACACCGAAAAATATATTTTTGCCGGTCTGACAAAAGAAATAGGGATAATTTTGATTGACTTACAAAATACTACTACTACTAATAAAAATAGTAATTACTGCTCTAGCTGGTTTGGCTCAGAGGATAGAGTGTCGGCCTGCGGACCGGGTTTGATTCCAGTCAAGGGCATGTACCTCCGTTACAGGCTCCTCCCTGGCCCTGGTTGGGACATGTGCTGGGGGCAACCAATTGATGTATTTCTTCTTCTTTTTTTAAATATATTTTTATTGATTTTTTACAGAGAGGAAGGGAGAGGGATAGAGAGTTAGAAACATTGATGAGAGAGAAACATCGACCAGCCGCCTTTTGCACACCTCCTACTGGGGACGTGCCCACAACCCAGGTACATGCCCTTGAACGGAATCGAACCTGGGACCCTTCAGTCCGCAGGCCAACGCTCTATCCACCGAGCCAAACCGGTTTTGGCCAATCGATGTATTTCAATCACATTGATGTTTCTCGACCAGCAAGACGCAACTCCGTTAAATGACTTATATATTTATGGGTCAAGCCAGGGCATTCACACTGGATGGCTGTTGTTGTGTTGGCTGTTGTCATTTTTTTTTTACTTGACAATCTAAGGGAAAAGAGGTCAGTGCCCCTGACTAACCAGTCAGGTATTGCAAGTTTTAAAAATTCTTGTGGCCCTAGCTGGTTTGGCTCAGTGGATAGAGCATCGGCCTGCGGACAGAAGGGTCCCGGGTTCGATTCCGGTCAAGGGCACATGCCCGGGTTGCGGGCTCGATCCCCAGTGGGGGACGTGCAGGCGCCAGCCGATCCATAATTCTCTCTCATCATTAATGTTTCTCTCTCTCTCCCTCTCTCTCCCTCTCTGAAATCGATACAAATATATTTAAAAAATAAAATTCTCGTGGCGCGCCAGCGGGCCGCAGCACACCTGTTGGAAATCGCTGAATGACAGGCTGAAACACCCAGGTAAACAGCACCAGGCGCTGGGAGAGCAACAGACGGAGGAGCTGAGCTGGATTCAAATGCAGGCAGGCCGACTTCACAGCCCCAGTCTTTAACCTCTGTGCTGGGGCCACCCTGCTGCCTGGTGGTGTCTCTTGGGCCCTGAGAGGAGTCCACCCGGGACAAGGACAGACAGCCCAGCCCTCATTCCTCTCCCTGTCTCTCAGCCCCAGAGCCGGCTGCTGCCCGGCGGTACCCAGGCAATGGCGGGACCACCCGTCCTTGTACTCCCAGCACTCTGCCCAGACACACAGAAGTGACAGAAAATAAAACGCACGGGGAGGCCCCGCTGGAGGGCAGCCCAAGGCCGGGGAGGTGGCAAACCAGGCGGGAAAGGAAGCTGCGGGGGGCGGGCCTGCGGTCAGGGCTTCCACTTCCCTGTGAATCCAGGGGCCCTTGTGCAAAGCCGGCCCTTTGAGCTCCAAGTGTGGGCAGAGAGGCCCAGGTGACGGCCCAGGACGCCCACCCACCTTGGTGAGGTCGTTCTGCAGCTGCTGCCACTGCTCGCTGTAGGTCTTGCGCAGCTGCTGCCGCACCCCGATCAGCATGCTCAGCTTGCTCAGGGGCCCCGAGTTCAGATCTTCGGCATGCTGCCTCAGCAACCGGCTCAGGCCCTCCGTCAGGCTGGTGATCTCTGCCCAGGACTGCGGGGCGGGAGGGGGTCACGGGGCGGGGACAGTGACTGTGGATCCTGGGACTGCCCCCTCTCTAGCCCTCCCCAGGGGCGCATTCGGGGAAGGAAAAGGCAGGCAGATAGCCCTGGAACCCACAGGCATTCCTCGGGCGAGGGTGGGAAGGGGGCGAGGAGACCCGCGGCCCCACGCAAGCCCACCTGGCTGATGGGGCTGTCGGGGCCGCCCCGGTTCTGGGCCCCACTGTCCTGCATGTGGTGCAGCAGCCCCGCGTACTCCCGGTCACTCTTGACCCGCTGGGCCATCCACTTCCTCATGCCCTCCAGCAGCCGCAGCTCGGCCTCCTGCATCTGCTGGACTGCCGTGTGGGCCTGGGGGCTGCACAGCTCCGAGGAGAAGCCCATAGTGCGGTTCTGGGGACAGAGAAAGCAGAGGCCGTCCGCGGGAGAGGCAGCTGCTGGAGGTGGAGGAGGGGGGCAGGGAGGCCTGGGGGCCAAGGACCCAGAGGAGGTTGCAGGCAGGCGGGAGGAAGGTGGGGGCCTGTCCTGCTGACCGGCACTCACAGGTACAAACGCCACCTGGCTTCGACAGACTCTCACTGCTTCCCGTGTGCCAGGCCTAGGCCGGGCGCCAGGGGTCCGCTCCCCAGTCCTGGAACAGAGCCCGGGGCCCTTCCACCCAGCACCCGTTACAGGGGCGCCTGCACCCAGGCCCTTGGCAGGGCCCGGCTCTCCCCTGCAGGCGCCCCAGGTAGCCACCACAGCCTGGGCCCTGCTCCTGCA